AGAGAAATGTTTAGATTAAAAGATATCACGATTTTCCGACGCCAGGACGTGATATCTTTCAAAATCGATAAAAAGCGAAATTACTCTGAAATGGTTGAGAATCGGACCATGGACAATATGAACTTTTTTGTTCATTTTAGGGTGAAGAATCTATTGGAGAAGTTTGTAGCACGAGTAGCAATTCACCCTGTATATTGAAATAATTAGTGCAATAAATTTCTATAATCGTATCTAGGAATTCACGAAATTCTACCCTAGTTCGTTTTTGTTAATTAATGTTTACATGGTATAAACATATATTTGGATCTATTGTGACAATGTATAACGTTATTGTAATAAAGAAACGGAAGTCAATATATTTGAAATCGTGATTACCAAAAATAAATTTTCTATTTAAAATAAAAGTAAAATCTGCTATCATGGCTTGGATTTTAAAAATCTAATACGTCAGATATGACAAACTATTATACGTTATTAGGATCTTCAATGAAATTCAGTTTAAATACGTAATATGCAATTATTAGAATATACATGATACAAAAGTTTATAGGCTTATTAACATAACGTTATTATATATAAACATAATTATATTAACATAACGTATAAACATATATTTGGATCTATTGTGAGAATATATAACTTTATTTTTATAAAGAAACGAAAGTCAATATATTTTAAATCATGATTATGAAAAATAAATTTTCTATTGAAAATAAAAGTAAAATCTGCAATCATGGCTTGGATTTTAAAAAAACTAATACGTCAGATATGACAAAATATTATAGGTTTTAGAATCGTCATTGAATCCAGTCTAAAAATATAATATGCAGTATATTATGTTTATTAGAATATACATGGTACAAAAATTTATAGGCTTATTAACGTAATATATATTGATATAACTGGTACGATAAATTTGTATAATTCGTATTTAGGAATTTACGAAATTCTATCCTAGGTCGTTTTTTTTAATTAATGTTCACATGGTATAATGCGACAATGTATAACTTTATTTTTATAAAGAAACAAAAGTCTATGTATTTTAAATCATGATTATCAAAAATAAATTTTCTAGTTAAAATAAAAGTAAAATCTGCTATCATGGCTTGGATTTTAAAAATCCAATACGTCAGATATGACAAAATATTATGCGTTATTAGAATCCTCGATTAAATTCAGTCTATAATATGCAGTATATTATGTTTATCAGAATATAAAATATAAAAGTTTATAGGCTTATTAACAGAATATATATTCTTATATTTTGATCTCAACAGTTTAACTTATGATTTTTTTTTCTTGAAGGTGGAATAATAGGTCATGTCAAAAAAATCACAACCAGTTTTTATCCACACACAGAACAAATATTTCTTACATTTTTAAATCAACATGATTATCATTGTTTCTTCACTACATTGACTACTCACTTCACTACTGAAAATTGAATGCAAAGACTGCAAGAAAGTGTACTGTGGTGAAACCAAACAATACCTAAAGAATAGAATTTATCAACATAAATATACAGTGCACAATTGTAAAAACAATGAACATGCAGTTGTTGAAGGTCATACATTTTTATTTGATGATGTTAGTATTGTTACAAAGGAAAGAGATAGTAAAAAACTTAAGTTCCTCGAGGCCATTTACTTAAAAAAAGATAAACTGTCTATCAGTTAGTCAAGATTGTGATATGATAAGTGATTTCTATTTGAATTTGTTAAACAAAACAGAAAAATAATCCAGTCCATTTTAAACTTTGGAGGAAACTTAAATTCTGTGATAATTGTGATAATAATTGTTAAAATGTTGTTAATAAAATAAATAAAAATTGTTGTTTAAAAGTGGATTTTAAAAAATGTAATTTTAACTGTTGAGTGTTTTTTTATTGTTAGTTGATCTGTGATAAGATGTTGATAAATGGTTGAAACGTCACATGAAAAGTTGTGATAAGAGTCAGACTCAAAATATTAAAACGTTTGTTCAGAGTCTGAAAGACTTAAATATGTCAACCACACTGCCTCTTTTTTAAAATGAACTGTTATAAAAATTTAATGACTAACGACCACTGTTTTAACCATTGTAAGTAGTTAAGAAACAATGATAACCATGTTGATACAAAAATGAAAAAAAAATTTGTTCTGTGTACAGGCGTTAACTCACCTGAGGAAGGATTAAAATAAATCCGAACGTTGTGAATAAAAACTGGTTGTGGTTTTTTTGAGATGACCTATTATCCCACCTTCAAGAAGGAAAAATCATAAGATACTATATATTCGTATAATTGGTACGATAAATTTATATAATTCTTATCTAGCAATTTACGAAATTCTATACTATTTCATTTTTGTTAATTAATGTTTACATGTATAAATATATATTTGGATCTACTGTGATAATGTATAACTTTTTGTCATAAAGAAAAAAAAGTCAATGTTTTACATTTAAGCAAAGTTTTACAATTTCTACAATAAATAATACAAAAAAGGTTAAAATGGCATTTTGAAATGTGGGTGAATTCATGAACGCGGCATTAGTTTAATTTTTGTGTTTGTTAATTAATATTGTGAAAAAACCTACAATATTAATCTGTGTTTAATTATTTATTAGACGTTTAAAAAAAATAAATAGCAAGGAACTCGAATGGACTTGTCGATATTTATGTTATTGTTCTTTTCAGAGACAACTCTTCGAATCAAGTTATGTAAGTATAATCCGGCCAGATTCAAGCCTTTAGTTTGTCAAGCTGGCTACATTATTTTATATAATAGGTTCGAAACAAAGATTTGTAGGAGGAAAAAGGAACAATTGATTATTTTTATTGAAAGCTGATCCAATTCAACATGAATCAATATTATAAAGTGACTGATAGAACGATTGTTAAGATTTGATTTTTTAACCATAGAAAATTGTCCAATCTTCATAAATTTTATTATTTAAAATTTGTCATAAAAATTATTTTTGATAGGTTGACACTAATAAGGGTAATTATAAATTATTCAGAAATCGTGAGATGCGGTCTGGTGTGATGTAGGTTTAGACCGCATCTCACGATTTCTGAATAACTATCGATTAACGGTCACTAATCACCACACGTAATTATAAATTTTATAGTACAGATGACAGGTTAATCTGTTTATACGATTTATTGTTACGTATTCAATTTTTAATCAAAACAACAAAATACAAAGACAATAAATCGGAAACAATGATTTACCGTTTCTAAAATAAATAATACACAAAAGGTTTAACCGAGATTTTGAAAAATCGGTAAATTTAACGTGGCAACATACCGTTGACCCTTCAGAGCGTGACCTTACAAACTATCCAGTTTCAGAAAATCGATCCGGGATACTTAAACTTAAATTACATTTAAAAATTTGATGTTTTTCTGTCTGTATTCTAAACCTAACCTCTAAAGCACCTTTCGTTTTCTCATAAACCACAAGCTAATTACGACCAGCTAATATGAAAAATAATTTTAAGAGGAAAATATAAAGAATTATCTTTTAAAACGAAGGAAATGGTTTTTAACAAATATAAAGCATTGATGTATTTTCAATGATTAAACCGTTTTTCTAATGATTCCTGAGTATATTGTTTTATTTATGACAGTAATAAAATATAAATATAAATAAAATATAAAAAGTAAACAAATATTTTTGAAAAAATATTGAAGTTTGAAAAATTAATCATGTAAGTTTTTATTTACACTGGATTTCAAAAACTACTAGTAGAATTAGGTTTTGAAAAATTTCTTTAAACTAAATTTTATATCTCATATATTTGGCTGATATCAGTCTACATACAATATTATAATTATATATGAAAAGACAGGGAAGGCAAATTTGAAAAAAATATAAGTTCATTCCTTAATTTTTCTACAAATACAACTTCATCAAGACATAAAAATTATTTTTAATAATTTAAAATTTTAGTAGACCTCGCCCACTCTGTTTATTCAAAATCGATTGAAACCATGATTTTTAATAATACAAGGTTTTATATTTATTAGCTAACCTTGTAAATTAGTAGAAATAATTTCAAAGTCCTGATGATAAGAAATATTCATAGAAAGTTTTACGAATAAATGAGCGTTTTTCTTTCTTTCAAATTCGACTTATCCCTGATTTTTTGTATCCAATTGTCTTGTTATAAACAATAAAGTGTACTAATAAATCTAATTTTTGAATGAGGTTAACCATTAAAGGATAAATTTAATTAAACCGATCTCTCGGCAGGACAGTTTGGAGACTTTCATTGTTAAAAGTTTCGCGATTTTTTTCTCTCTCTCCAGCTTTATAATGGGACGGAGGCTTGAAGTCAGTTAAATCTTCGGACTTAATTTAATTTGACCACGTTAAATTTTCCGGCTTTTAAAGCGGCACCAAATCCAAACGACCCGTCGACTCGTATCAAAACCTTTGCGGAAATGACTTCCGACTCGTGCCAATCGGCCCCTTTTCTAACGTTTGACTGACAAATTGGACCAATAAGTTCAAAATTGAAAATGGAAAGTTTTTTTTATATTTATTTTCAAAACGATTCAAGAATGTTATGAGATTAATATTTTTGTAATAATTATTAATACTATACAATTTTTGATACATTTAAACTTGCAACAGAAAAGTAAGTAATTAAAAATTAAAAAAAAACTATATATTTCTATTTGGTTTCCTCAAAGGTCTAAATTATATATTTAAGAATAGTTCTATTATCTCTAGTTTTATTTGACTGCATGTTTTACCTTCATTAAAAACAAGACTGAATATATCAAAGATTGACTAAAATATATCTTTTTTTTTAAATAAGTAATGATCAGCTGTTGAGGATTTGCTGAAAAATATTTTACAAACGAACACCACCACTTTTTAGAAGAGATATATTTAATTTTAAAATTTGAGGTGTAAAACGATAAATCACATGGTAAGGAGGGGAAAGTGCTTGAATAATAAAGGATAAAAGGCAAAAATCCATTTCGAAATTTACCTCTGCGCTCGGTGGTTATTTTTTGAACGGCCTAGCCTGCGGTCGCACTTATTTCATGAATTGTTCGGGGGCGGTATCAACAAGTGGGTGGCAGTTGCCTTAGAGGCAGGGGTCCACAACCTGTTGTGCCGGTGTTGCGCTGGGCACTGTGCTGCCGCCGCCTTTTGCCGCCTCCAGTTTTGGCCGCAGGCGCACTCGCTTCTGCCCCAATCAATACACCGCTCCCCGGGCCTGCCATTGCCCTGGGCAGCAACCAGAGAGACGGTCACCTTCCGTCGAATTGATGATCGAAAAGAAAAAAAAAACTTTTCCTATAGTGACGGTTTAAATATTTACTTTATGGCCTCCACATATACGAACAACGTATACAAATACGTTTTGACTTTTTTTCCCCCAGCGGTAATAATATTTGCAAATCTTCTCTCAAATATAAGCCTATGGACAATAATACATACACACGGAAAATATTGTCAATAAAACTTTCTCAAGAATTCAAAAAGACACCAGATCCAACAAGAAGTTTCAAAACACCTGAACTAACAACAAAATTGCTATTCATAGAATAAATTTTTTCTTTGCTTATTTTCACAATAATTAACAAGATGATGAAAAATCTATCTATACGATAATAAGAAAAAAGCAAACATAAAAACTATCCAAGATAAAAAAGAAATATTCAACAAAAATGATTTTTCTAATAGTTTATAATATATGTTACCTTTTCAATTTATGATTTTGTTAATGGCGCATAAGTAAAGCAACCAGATAGACTGTTACCTTGCGCCAAATTAATGATCGAAAAGAAAAGCAACTTTTGCTATAGTCGAGGGTTTAATTATTTATTTTATGGCTTGCTCATACATGAACAACGTATACAAATACGTTTTGCCTTTTTTTTATGATTTGTTAATGGGGCACAATTAAAGCAACCAGATAGACGGTCACCTTGCGCCAAATTGATAATCGAAAAAGAAAATTTTTTTTCCAATAGACGAGGGTTTAAATTTTTAATAAATGGCCTTCTCAAATTGGAAACACGTATTCAAATATGTTTTGACCTTTTTTTCTCGTCGATAGTAAAATGTGCGAATCTTTTCTCAAATGTATGCCGTGCAAGTGCAAAAGGATGCAAAAGTGCAATAATACATACACAGAATGATTGTTCACAAATCTTGATCTGGTGTGATGTAGGCTTCAGAAAAACATTTTTCTTTATCGTGCCAAAGTTTCGATCTTTATTGAGATCATCTTCAGGGCCAGGGATTTACAAACATTGTTTTAATTTAACAGAAACATGTAGGACGTGGAAAAAGTGAATTAATACAAATTATTTCTACTCACACACACTTGAAGTGAGTAGATATATTTTGATTGAAAATAAAAAATATTTTTTTTGCATTTTATAAATTCATTGTTTCACATCCTACATGTATTTGTAAAATGTAAACAATGTTTATAAATCCCAGGGCCTGAAGATTATCTGAATAAAGATCGAAACATTGGCACGAGAAAGAAAATGTTTTTCTGAAACCTACATCACACCAGACCACATCTCACGATTTCTGAATAATCATCGACTAACGGTCACTAATCACCACAGAATTAACAAAATGATGAATCTGAAGACGATGATCTGTCTATACGATGATTGAAAAACCTAGCCAAGATAAAAAGAAATATTCTACAAAAATGATATTTCTAATTGTGTACAACTTATGTTACGTTTGTGATTTATGATTTGATAATGGCACATAATTAAAACGAAGTTAAAATGGTTACGCTTTACCAACCGTTCTAAAATTAATATGTTATAAAATAAAACTATTTCTCAATCCGTATTGCGAGCTATATATAAATAAATAACTAACAACTCTTGAGTTCGTATCAGTCCTATCAAATAGCAAGGCAATTAGAAAAACACGCTAAAACACCGATATTAACTCAACCCATATCTAAAACTGCTTTATTATTATGTAAAACAAAAACTGAGAATAACAAACAGCCTAACGCCAAGGTAGGTTCCAGGTCATGAGGAAATTTTTCAGGAAACGAAGTGTTTTGAACATTGATTAAAAAAAATAAGTCTCGGAACAACGCATCGGCCTTTTTTCTAATAAAATATTTATTATCATCTGTGTAATAATACATTATATATTTTTTCGGAATATCATAAATATGTACAGTATACTGTATGACGAGGGGTGTCAGCAACCATTGTTGTTCCTCTAATTTTACAAAAGAGACAGTCTTTCATAATGTCGTGCGATACCAGAAAATATTCGATACTGGATATTGGTATCGAAAGAAATATTCGATGACTACCCAAGTTATTAGTCAGAAATCGTGAGATGCGGTCTGGTGTGATTTAGGTTTCAGAAAACCATTTTCTTTATCGTGCCAACGTTTCAATCTTTATTGAGATCATCGAAATGTTGGCACGATAAAGAAAATGTTTTTCTGAAACTATCACACCAGACCGCATCTCCCGATTGATTAACGATCACTAATCACCACACACAATACTACCCAAGTATGAACAGAAATTTTTCGATATTAACGAGTACTTACTCATATGAGTAGTTTTTCGTTTATTAATGCTTTATTTACTATTGTGGACTTTGGTAAAACAAGCTCATGTGTTAAAATAATCAAAAAATTGCAGTTTTTTTTTTCATTTTGAAATATTTTATTATATATACAGTGGGTACGTAGGTAATATAAAGGAAAAGCTGTCAACACATTTGAACATAATTGATATTTCAATTTTATCGTTATCGAGTTTTGAGAAAATTGATCAACGGGTGTTTGGTTTTCAAATGTTTGAAAACATAAGACGTGTTCCCACTGTATTCCCCAAAGTTTACAACATACCGACGACTCTGTTTTCTTGGTAAAATAACCTCATGCCTTACTTTTGGGAGGAGGCATGATTATGTACCTACCTACGAGAAGGAGGGCGATTTTAGGGACTTAAGACAAAAACATTTTATAAAAAATTACTAAAATTGAAAGTGCGATGTGCGACGCGGGAAAAAATTATAGCAAAATTATCAGCAGAGTTATCAACCACCAGTTAAAAATATCGATTAACTTTGCTGACACATGCTGCTAGTAGGCGCTCTTAACATTAACTAATCAATTCCCAGTTTCATGAAAGGTAAGTTTCGAAAGGTAAATAACAATTCAATATTATTTGAACACTCGACGAAAAATCTATTTGAGTACTTTTTCCGATACTACAATACTTGTATAATACTCATTATCGAAAGAAAATACTCGATACTTAACTCATATCGATTGGTATCGCACGTCACTAGTCTTTGACGAGGAGGTCGCAGGGTAATTCCTTCATTTAGTACTAAAATTCGTTATCAGAGATAGGATACAATAGTAAAATCGTTATGTGGTATTACGATTTAAAACGAAAATTTTTGTTATTCAAATATTAAGTTATTCAACAAAAACCTTTCATACAAAGGCATTTATTTTCTTCGGTTCTTTAAGTTTTGCCTTGAGAAGTATTCTTGTCTTGTTTTCTCTTTTCTCAATTAGAACTTTTTTCATTAATTGAAGTGGTTCGAGCCTTCTGGGCGTTTTACTATCTTAAGAGTTTCTTCTATTAGCTGGGCAAGCATTGGTGATCTTAAGGTTTTCACGTTTTTAACTAAAGACTATTTTCTCATTTCTTACTTCTTTTGTTTCTTCTTTATTATTATTTGTGCAAAATCACCATAAGAAATGTTGTGTTTACGCGTTACTTTTGTAATACTAAAATTTAATACCGTTTTTCTGAAACAATTTTCATTTGGTTCTTGCCATTTCAAAAATCTAACTGGGTTTAATGAATCTGAAAATGAACATTTTAATTTTCAACTTTTCATCCTTACTTTCAAATATGCAACAAAACCTCAATATTCTTATGTTAGTCCATATCTTATTTAACAGCGTGTTCCTCAGGCATCCTGCACGATCTTAGTAATATCCAAAATCACTTACATATTCGCAAAATAATTCATGAACCTTGAATGCGATTTCAAACTTTGGCTATAAAAAGCTGCTGTCTTACCCAAAGAACGGAGTATTTCTAAGTGTAAGGTAAATAAAACAATGAATTCAACAACAGGTCATTGTTTTCAAGTTGCTGTTAAACAGGCAGACATTGGAAGAAATAAAAAATCGGATAAACAAATGTAAGGACTCACTCCCCAAGCAAAGGCGAAAATCCATGGAAATATGCAACTGAATGAGCTAAATTTACTAATTTCGTGGTCCGCATGACTAATTAATATAGTATAATAAATTAAGGTTTTTAGTTGAGATAAAAAAGTGAATGGCACGAGCGGGATTCGAACTAACGATCATCGGCTAGATACGCCGCTGCACTACCACTTGAGCTATCGTGACCGCGATCCACTCGGACACTAACTTCCCATCTCAACCCCACCATTTGAATTTTCCCTCCTTTTTGCCATTTTTCAAATGTCGTGTAATCGGATTGGATTCTCGACGACAAATGAAATGGCTACGGAGAGCTTTAGTAAGTGTACTTCATTTAAATTCTTTAAATTCACTAATTTCGTGGTCCGCTTGACCATTTAATATCTTTCAATTAATTAAGGTTTTTAGTTTAGATAAAAATGACAAAAAGGAGGGAAAATTCAAAAGGTGGGGTTGAGATGGGAAGTTAGTGTAGGAATGGATCGATGTCACGATAGCTCAATTGGTAGAGCGGCAGCGTATCTAGCCGAAGATCGTGGGTTCGAATCCCGCTCGCGCCATTGACTTTTTTATCTCAACTAAAACCCTTAATTAATTGAATGAGTTAATGTAGAACAAGAGGTTCCAATTGATATTTCGTATGTCATTGATTCTATAAAGAAATTAGTTAAATAAAAAAAATCTATGAACCATGAAGAAACTGTGAACCTTGGTGAGCAAAAGGCAGTAGCTTTGTCCAGCGAATTGAATAATTCAACGTGTAAGGTCTAGGTCATAGGGAAGTTGCTATAAAATTATCAAATATTCGGAGAAATCCAACATCTGTAACAAATGGAAAAAAATTACAGCCAAAACATGACGAGTAAAAAATCATGCAAAAAATATGGGAGGAATGTAAAGA